GTGTTACATGCTGTCGGACGATCGCTGTGCGATGTGCGGGCAGCACGATGACACGCCTTTTCACAGGCCCTGGCGATGCCCTGCTTTCGATTCGATGCGATCGGAGTTGATAGACCGTGACATTCAGGATGCTGCTGACGCGGCGGGCCCGTCTGACCCCCTCACCGACCTTCTGTTCGGGAAAAGTTTGTTTCCCCACCCTGGGGGCGTTTTCCCGAGGCCCGCTGGTGAGAGCGCCGGGGCCCAGGGGTCCAGGTCTGGCACGGATCCCCTCCCGACGATGGCAGTTTCAGAGGCTCTATCTCCGTTGGCGGGTGCGGTTTCAGGCACCAAGTCGCTGAGCTCTCGAGGGCGGGGCATGGCCTTGTTTAGTCGACGACCCCGGCCAAGAACGGTGCACGATTGACGCCCCCGTGTATGCTCCGTTCCTCCAGACCCCCCAATGCGGAGAGTTCGCGGCCCTGGCCAGAGTGGGCCTCGAAGTCACGGGTTCGTCGTCTGTTTTTAGTGATTGCAAAAATGTGGTGGACCTCGCCCATGCCCCGAGGGAGTTGCAGGTTTTTTTTACAAGAGGCCTTACGCTGGCCTCGTGATGTTTTTTAACTTAGGGGCCCCGCGGATCAGCGCTGTTTCGAAGGTGAAGGCTCACCTCGACCCTCAAGGGGGGGGAATCGAGCCTGACGAGAGGTGGCGCCGTTTGGGCAACCACGCGGCGGACCTGGCGGCTAAAGCAGGGGCCAATCTGCACCCTGCGGCCTCGGACGAAGAGCAGGAGGCGTTGACGTTCTGCATTGGGGGTCGCTAAAGCGGTTTGCACATTGGCGGCCAAAATCTTCCTTCCGCGGCCTCGTCTGGACCTGGCCAGCTGTCCCCGAGAGGCCCAAGTCAGCCCCGGCACTGCCTCGTCGGAGGCGACCCTAGCGAAGGCTATGCTTGAGAGCCAACATTGTTTCGCGCGCCATGCCTCCCATAAATTTGCGCGTAGCCTTTGCCGCTGCATTGTTAACCAGAAAGACATTCTGGAGGCATGCGCGACGGAGTGCCCGGTTGATCCGTCGGCGGCCCCGGGTTCTACGGTTTCGGCTATCGATGAGTTTCGGTCGGTGGGTGGAGGGGTGACGCTGGGTGGGAAGCAGCTTCACGAGTCTCACGCCCTTCGTTTCTGGCCGCGGCATTCTCTCTATTTTTGTGCGACTTGCGGCCGCGCGGCGACGATTGCCCCGAGAAGTTTATTGTCTCAATGCGAGCCCGCAACACGCAAGGGAATCCAGAACCTGGCCAGGATAGGCAAGAAGATCTTTCCTAGCTACAGAGGGCCCTCAGACGCAGTGAAGGACGCACAGGCGTCGAGAGTTCGCAGGGCGTTCGCCACCTCACACACCTCGCCTGTGGGAGAGATGGTGAGCGTTCTGCCGCATCGCGGGGGGGGCTCCGACAGCTCAGACTGACGGGGACGGCCTAGCAGGCACTCTTATGTTCCTGCTAGGCCTGAGGCGTCTGCCTTGTTTTATCTCGCCGCCCTGCTAGTCTGTGTCCCTTTCGTTGGAGCGGAAGGTTGCGGGTCCTTGATCGCTCTGCCCAGTTGGTCTTTGGCCGCATCTGGAGGGCCCGCCATGGGGGCACTGGCTCAGGGCGCGAGATGGGCCCACACCTGGGGCAGCACAGGGGCCGTCCAGGCGCCCGCCTTCAAGGCTAGGTACACCTGGGGTTTTCCTGGCTGTCGCCCTGGCGTCGCACAATCACTTTCTGTTCGCTGTTTCAGTGCAGCCGAGGTGTTACTAACGCATGCCCCACATCTGGGGCGAGGCTTGCGGTCGTCCTGGCGCCCGCGGCACCAGGGGTTGCGGGTCTCGTCGTCCTTGCGTGGGCGGTCGCTTCTCCTTTCCAATTTTCTGGTGACAGTGCGCGTCCGTGGCGCGCGCGCTTTCGCGGTCGCTCGGCACGAGTGTCAGGCGCCCCGCTCTGGGGGAAGGCGCATAGCACACGCGTCCGTGAGGGTTTCCATCCGAGCACGGGGGCTGTCTCTGGACGGCCCCGACCGCGGCTCGTGTCGCGGCGTCGCAGAGGCCAGGCTGCCTGGGCCTGGCCCTCTCATCGCTGGTTTCCCTCCTTCACAGGCGTTTTATCTCGCCGCCCTGCTCGTCTGTGTCCCTTTCGTTGGAGCGGAAGGCGGCGGGTCCTTGATCGCTCTGCCCAGTTGGCCTTTGGCCGCATCTGGAGGGCCCGCCATGGGGGCACTGACTCAGGATGCGAGATGGGCCCACGCCTGGGGCAGGTCAGGGGCCGTCCAGGCGTCCGCCTTCGTGGTTAGGTACACCTGGGGTTATCCTGACTGTCGTCCTGGCGTCGCCCTATCTTTTTCTGCTCGTTGTTTCTGTGTTGCCGTATTTTTCTATCTAGTAATCATGCGCGTCCGTTGTGCGCGCGCTCTCGCGGTCGCTCGGTACGCGTATCAGGCACCCCGCTCTGGAGGAAGGCGCATGGCACACACGTCCGTGATGATTGTCATCCGAGCACGGGGGCAGTCTTTGCACGGCCCCGACAGTGGCTCGTGTCGTGGCGTCGCAGAGGCCAGGCTGCCTGGGCCTGGACATCTCTTCGCTGCTTTCTTTCACTTACAGGTGTTTTGTTGCGTGCAGCCGTGGCCCGCTGTTGGGGTACCCGAGCTGCTGTGTTTTGTCGTGTGCCTCGGAAGCGCTCTGCCTCATAGAGGCTCGCGCCGCGGCTGCCAGCTCTCCGCTCCCCAGCCGCACCCGTGGGCACCGACTGTCTGTCGCCGCGTACCTCAAAGGAGGTAGCCAGCGGCGGCAGTCCTTTACAGCCGATGTGTTTGTTCGCGGGAGCTCGCGCCTCGTTTGCTCATCCCGAGGCCCTGTCCAAAAAAAAGGCGCCGGCGCGGCGGCCTCGACCCGGACCTCCGCCGCCGTGATTTTCTCAGACTCGGCAGCGCGCAGAGGGGGGCAGGGGTTGGGGGGAAGGCTTCTTAGAAACACCCCTGTTTCTTAGAAGGCGCGGGCCTTCTCTATAGACGTAAGGCCCAGGCCTTCTAAGAAGCAGGGTGCTTCTAAGAAGCCTTCCCCCCTCCCCCTGCCCCCTCTTGCGCGCCGCCAACAGACCGTGCGCGGAGGAAAAACACGGGGTCGACTACGCAAGACCCCTTCGCGTCATGACAAAAATCGCGACGGGAGGTTTTTCTGGATTTTCGGCCTCTGGGGGCCCTTACCGGGCCTCGGGACCGTCAAAAAACGATTCAGAACGAAAAACCGGTCCCGGGAAATGGGTCGGGACCTCTGAGGGTCGCGTCATGAAAAATTCATGACGTCGGGGGTCGACTACGCCAGACCCCCTCGCGTCGTGACAAAAATCACGAGGGGAGGTTTGCCGCTGCGTCGGCCTCCCGTGGGCCCTTGCCCGGCCTCGGGGCCGTCAACAAGCGACTCAGGACGAAAAAAACGGTCCCGAGGAAGGGGTCCAGACCCCCTGGGGGGGTCGACGTTGCGCACAAAATCACGACGTCGGGGGTCTGGGGCGCGGACATTGGCGCACGAGCTTGCCGCGCAAGGTCGCGCGTGTAAGCGTTGTCGTTTCCAGTGTGGCGTGCCACGCTGGCGGCCCGCGTGAGGCGCGGCGTCAGGTCGCTGTGCCATCTTGCGTAGGGCCCGCTTCTTTTCGGCGCTCGTGCGGTTCCCCGGGCATCTGGACCACTTCCCTGGCACCGGCTTTCCATCTTCGCGTTGACGGTCACAAAGTCCTGGCGAGGGCACCCAGAGAGTGAGGGTGGGCCGATTTACCATTACCACTAAGGCACTACTACCATAGTGAGGAAGGGGAGGAGGAGGAGGAGGAGGAGGGGGAGGAGGGGGGAGGAGGAGGCGGAGGAGGAGGAGGAGGAGGCAGGGGAGGAGGTGGAGGAGGAGGAGGAGGAGGACAAGGAGGAGGAGGGGAAGCCTAGGAGGATGAGGAGGAGGAGAGAGGAGGAAAGGAGGAGGAGGAGGGGGGGAGGAGGAGGAGGAGGAGGAGGAGGAGGAGGAGGAGGAGGAGGAACACCTCCCCAGCCCCCCTTCTCCCCCGCCCCACCTGTGGTGGTGGTGGTGGTGGAGGCCTGGCCCATCAGGTGAGCCATCGCCTAAAAAAGCCGCCCGTCGTGCTTCTCTGTCCGTGGCGCGAGGCGCCGGGCGGATTTGCCCCCCCTCTGCCGAGCTCCGGCGGCCGCTCGGGGATGCCTCTCGGCGGGGCGCAGCCGCCGGCCCGGGCCTCCTCGCGCTGTGAGAAAAAACACGACGGGTGACGAGCGAACAACTCACACCCATGCCCATAGGAGAGTGGAAAGGAGGGGAACTGGCTATGGGTATGGGTGCGAGTTGTCGGACCCTGGGGGAAGCTCCCGTTCGAGCGGGGACCCCCATCCGACAACACGCACCCATATAGCCTCCTCCGTCCCCCCTATGGGTATGGGTGCGTGTTGTTCGATCGTCAACGGGGGAGGTGTTCCGTTCTTTTCTGCCTCTGGGGGCCCTCGCCGGGCCTCGGGACCGTGAAGAAAGGGCTCGGGATGAAAGGCTTGTCCCAGGGAAGGGGTCCAGGCCTCTGGGGGTCGACGTTGCGGATAGATCACGGCGTCGGGGGTCTGTGGGTGAGCATCCCGACGGTGATATACCGCCAAGCACCTATACGAAAACAGCCGAAAACCTGGAGTCTCGAGCCCAGAACATTAAATCGGGCATGTCCCCTTGCAGGAGGAATCGCCCCAAATAGTGAAAAATAGTCAGGGGACGATGTTATTGACTATTCTTGAGGAGTTTTGAATTTGTTTGATGTTTTGTTTATCCTACCAAATCCCCCTGCAGGAGGACACGCCCGATCTAACCCTAACGTCGCGACCGCGACTGACGTGGGCATCTGCAGTCCGCCTCTGCGGGCCACAGCCGCGCGGCGGCTCCAGCGTGGCGCCTTCCAGGCGGGAGGCGCGGCGGCGCGGGAGGGTGCGAGGCGGCCGCCAGGTCCATGATCTCCTCTCGACCTGCGCCGCGGAGCTGGACTCCATGCCCACGAAGGAGCGCACGCCGCCCTCCCCCCAGTGGCCCAGGGGAGGCAGAAGTAGCCGAGCGGGTGCTCCACGGCGTCGGCGCGGCCAAGCGGCCCCGCGACGCAACGCTTCCCCCCCCCCCCCCACACTGCGTCCCCGGCACTGCAGCAGTGCGTCCGACACCGACCGCAGTCTGTCACGGGGTGGGGTGGGGGGCGCTACGTCGTGCCCCCCCCGTCCCCCCCTTCCCCCCATTTCTAGCCTCCGGTCTCGGGCTCCAGCGGGAGCTCTTTTGGCAAGGCGCACGAGCCAGAGTCGCCCCATGCGGGCTCTCGAGGACGGTCTCGAGAGAGTCGCGGCCGACTCGCCCTGCAGGGGTCCCCCCTTTCTCGGGGGCCCCCACACGGCGTGGGGATCACGCCGTGTGGGGAGAGGAGGAGGAGGAGGAGGAGGAGGAGGAAGAGGCGGAGGAGGAGGAGGAGGAGGAGGAGGAGGAGGAGGAGGAGGAGGAGGAGGAGGAGAGGGGAAGGAGGGGAGGAGGAGGAGGAGGAGGAGGGAGGTGGAGGAGGAGGAGGAGGAGGGAGGAGGAGAGGAGGAGGAGGCGGTGGAGGAGGAGTAGGAGGAGGAGGAGGAGGGAGGAGGAGGAGGAGGTTGAGGAGGAGGAGGAGGAGGAGGAGGAGGAGGGGGAGGAGGAGGAGGAGGCGGAGGAGGAAGGAGGAGGAGGAGGAGGAGGAGGAGGAGGAGGAGGAGGAGTCAGTCCGTGTGGACTCGGTGCTGTCCAGCGCCTCCGTCGGCTCCTGCTGCTCCTGCGCGCCCTGCCCCCCCCGGCCTCTCCGCGGGCCCGCGCCGCGGCCGACGTCCGCGGCGGCGGGCTCTTTCTGGCCGCCCCCGGCCTCCCGGGGCGCCCTTTCGGGGGCAGGGGGGACCATAGGGAGCCCAAAAGTATACACCACCACCACCACCTCCCTCCCCCCCCTCCCTCCTCGCTGGAAGGAGGAGAGAGGAGGAATCGACGCGGTGGTGGTGTATATTCTCTGGGCCCCCAGACCAGACCTCCCTCGCGCCTCGTGGGGTGTTCTCTGTCTTTTTTTCTCGGCTTCGGGAGGCGTTCTGGCATCGGGAGGCTCTCCAGCAGCTGCGCCTCGCCGAGAGCACTCCGGGGGGGGCCCAGATCGTCCCGAACGGCCGGTGGAGAGCCGAGTTGTGACTCGAAAGCCAGGGGCCAGGGGGCAACGTTAGGGGGGGGATCGGCCTAGGGGGAACCTTTCGGCTTCGAGGTTCCAGTTTTTCTGTCGTTTCCGCAGGTCCGCGGCGGTTTCTCAGCGTCGGGATGCTCTCCAGCAGCTGCGCCTCGCCGAGAGCGTTCCGGAGGGGCCCAGATCGTCCCGAAAGGCCAGCGGAGAGCCGCGCTTGGACGCGCAAGCCAGGGGGCAACGCTAGTCAGGAGGGGAAAATCACATAGGCACGACTAATCGTCGACTCCTAGGAAAATATACGAACATATGGGAAGTGGGGGGAAGACGAAAACCCAGAAAATAACACCGGGAATATGGGGATTTGTGTATATGAACTGTTGTGTTCCTGGGCCCCTTGTAGTTAGGGGGGAGACAGGCTCAGAGGGGGGCCGCATCGATCCCCAAACGCCCCTTTGCCGCCGATGGGGGCTCGCGGCCCCTGGCCGTTCTGTAGGCGATGTATCTCGCCCGTGCCAAGCGACGCACTTCGAGGTACTCCCCATGAGGTGTCGTTGTCGTCGTCGTCGGTCGAGAGCCCCGGCCTGGGCGGGTCTCGCCGGCCCCGGGGCCGTCCACAAGACGGTTCGGGTGGAATCGACTGGACGTCAGAGTGACCTTCCGCCAGAGTGACCTTTGGTGCGGGCCTGATGGGGGCCCCCAATCGCCGAACGCGATGCGGCAGTAGCGCCTTGCGCGCTCGCTTTTGGGCCCCCCGCGGCCCCCCAAAAACCGCGCACCAAAGGTCACTCTTACTCGGGCGATCGCAGACATGAATCAAGGGGGCGTGGATTAGCGACGGGTCCCGTTTCAAGGGGGAAATCGCGGATCTCCGCTGCCGAGCGAGGCGGCACCGGCCGCATTTTGGGGAGGGCACCTACCCCGATCCATGGATTAGGCGACCGCGCGCCAAATCCACGATCGTTCATCCGTGTTTGCACGCCCCCGACTTACCCAAGGTGTCCTTTGCATGTAGTCGAGTGACGACCCAGTCCCGGCGGATCGGGTGTCGTGGGGGCGCTGTCGAGTGCCCTAGATGCTGGGCCCGCTCGACAGCTGGAGCACCACTCGGCTTTCCCGATCATACGGTGGCAGTGACAGGCCTTGCGCCCACTCGCTCAGGGGTGCCGAAGGAGGAGGAGGAGGAGGAGGAGGAGGAG